TGTTTCCAACGACTGGTAAACAAACTGGGTGCTAATTTGGAGCCCTATTTATTTGTATATTTAGATGATGTAATCATCGCCACCCCTGATTTGGAAACCCATTTGAAATTTTTAAAGGAACTTTTTATAAGATTGAACGATATGGGACTGGTTGTTAACAAAAAAAAGTGTGTTTGTGAAAGACGAACTTAAATATCTTGGATATGTTGTGGATAAAAAAAGGATTACGTCTGGATCCAGATAAAATTAAAAGTATGGTGGACTTTCCAACTCCGAAAACAGTTACAGATGTTCATCGATTTATTGGGTTATTCTCGTGGTATAGAAGATTCGTTACTAATTTTGCGAGTAGGGTTCATCCGTTGACTAGTCTTACTAGGAAAAATTATCCATTTTTGTGGGATCAAGCTGCAGCGCGCGCTTTTCTTGATATCAAACAATGTTTAATATCTGCTCCCATCTTAACATGTTCAGATTTTTTGCGTCTTTTTACCATTCAAACCGATGCATCACAAGTAGGTTTGGGTTGTGTTCTTACTCAACAGTTTTCCGAGGGAGAAAAGATTATTGCTTACGCAAGTCGTGCTTTTAACCCTCAAGAAGATAAATATAGTACGACTGGTTATTACGGATCACAGTAGCTTGCGTTGGTTGTTTCATTTAAAAATCCTAGTGCTGGCCCAGGTATGTGGATGCTAAGACTCCAATGATATGATTTTAACATTGTACACCGAAAAGGAACTTTACATTCTGTACCAGATGCGTTATCTCTGCGGTTTGTTATATTGATATCACTGAAGATGATCGAGACAAATGGTATTCCGATTTATTGGAGAAGGTATCTGAACATCCTAATAAGTAACCCAAGTTTAATGTTAAAAATAATAAATTTTATAAACTCGTAAATGTTGTAGTTCAGCAGTATGATAGTGAGTATGACTGGAAATTGGTGGTTCCAAAGAAATTGCGACAGGCTGTTCTTTTGTAAAATCATGATGAGGCTACGGCAGGTCATTGAGGGTATTACAAAACCGTAAAAAGAAGATCTTCCTTCTAATGTTGGCCTAAGTTGTCTGTTGATGTTGCAAGGTTTATTAGGAGCTGTGACGTGTGTAAATCCCAGAAACCAGAGGAAAGACTGCCACATGGAGTTATGAAACCTAGGGTGATAGACTACCCTTGGCAGTATGTGTGTACATATTTAATGAATCCTTTCCCGTTATAAAAAACAGTAATTTTTTTGAGTTAGTTATTTCCGATGTTTACCAAGTTTTTTTTGGTGTTTCCTTTAAAATCAGCTACTCCTAATGCTGTTGCTAAACATTTAGAAGAAGATATCAATCGCCAAAAAGTAAAGTACCAAAGACAAAATTGCAGCCAAAATTTTTTAAAGTCAGAAAGTGAAGACTGTGACGAATTTAATGCCTTTGCAGACGTTAATGTCACTTGCCATACCTACCATACTGTATTAGTGTTAATTAGTGTAAATGGAATAATAATAAACGAATCCCACTGACAAGAGACATACAAATACTACACAAGTACCATTCAAGTCAAAGTAAACAATTATTGGATATATTGAATTTCAAACTGGATTTAACGGTATTTATAAGACTTACAAATATGTTATTAGCGATGATTATTATTTTGAACCGTAACAGAGTATGAGAAGTTCAGTACATGACGAAAGATTACTTAAAGGCAAAGACAGGTGACCATGAATCAGATACCTTTAAAACTCTTAAGTGCCACAAAAAGAAAATTGGCCGAATCGTTAACAAGAATAGTAATTAGAAAAAGAGCAGTCCTTCTTACTGAAGAATTAAAACATTAGGTTGATGTACTAAATAGTATAAGAGAAACTTGCGGTGTCGACTTATTAAATCCATATCTACCCAACACATGTGGCTATCATAGAGCCTATAACTTGCTGAGCAAGTTTGCCAAGTTAACAGGATGCGCTCATCCCGAAACAATAACGTCCTCAAAATTGAGAAAGCATATTGCAACTGCTGTTCAACTTTTAAATATAAAAGAAAATAAATTAGGTTCTTTGGCGACGTAGCAGTCCAATTAGCAAAAATTAGTAAAACTTGGTTAAATATGGAGAGAGGAAATGTAAATAATATGAAAGGTAGACATTTAGATGATATTGATGTAGATGAAATAAATGAAATGTCGGAAGAATAAAACGATAATGATAGCCAATGTAAAAATGAGACGAAATTATAGATGACAATAAGGAAAAAATGCCAAGCAAAATATTATAAATACCAGTGCAAGTGGGAAAAAATAATAAATTGTAATTAGTTTAAGAAATGTTAAAGATTTTCTTTATCATATACTAAAAAAAAAGAAATAATTAATAGTTATACCTATTCAGAAAATAATGAAATTAGTCAAAAATCCGTGCGATTTGTGACCTCTTATCTTTGCCAGACCGAGAGACCATTTATTGTTTGCTGCAACATTGAAAATGCTTGTTAAGCTACTTTATGTATGCAATTGTCATATTTTTCTCTATTGTAGCTTGAATATCTTTTAATTGTTTTATTAAAATTTTTGTTAAAATGATTTGTTTTTATTACATTATCTTCTTCCAATGACTAAGTTAAACCCCACACCTTGTTCTATGTTACTAGCAATTTTTTTAACCAAAAATTGGAAACTGTTGGGTTAAAAGTTTGTTGAATTACTTATGATATGGATTCCAATATTAAAATAAAAAATACCTAATACCTACCTAAGTAATTCCTAAGCTAGGAAATTCTTAAATCCGATACTTAAATCGAATTTCCCCAACCTTAGAAATACTTTGTTAAGAAATACCTAGGTGAATTTGATTTGGATAGTTTTACACATATAGATGGCATTACTGGATAATTTTAACGTGAAAACCGAATAGTTATCGATCATACTAGAAAGAGAATAAGAAAAAGAAGATGGCATAATCACAAATTTTACATAAATTTACTTCTCACATGTAGGTGTATTTTCAAAGAGTTCGTCGTGTTTGTGTCTGAATTTTAGTGATTTTTATAGTAGAGTGAGGTTTAGAACTTTTTGTGATAAATGGAAGACAAAAGGAATAAGAATAGGAGGAAGAACAAATTAAATTGCTTGCATTATTGCAAATATAATGACATTTTGTGTAAAAAAATATCGTTTTCAACAAAAATACAAGGATATTGCTTGGATGAAATTGGAGCAGGATTTTAATTCCAATAATCAATTTAAGAGGTAACATTATTTTTATGGATTATTAGAAAGTTAAATAGTTTTAAAAAAAATATCGAATAAATTAAAATACGATGCTAAAACATATAAAAGCAAAATAAAAATAAGTGTAATGGGTACGGAAGATGGCCCAAGTACCCAAAAAGAAAATAATATTTTAGAGGAGGTTTTGCTTTTAATTGGAAGAGCAGGTGCAGGAATCGCAAACATACCTGATTGCGACTTTGAGTCCAATTCCAATATAGGTAAACAGGATATTATGGAAAAAATGCATTTCCTTTAAATCCCATTTTTGTTACAGAAATGGATCAAAGTATGTCAGAAATCTTTGCAACAATAGAAGTACAAAATAAAGAGTGTGAGGCGGAAGAAAAATTACTTAGTCCTCAGGTATTTGAAGAAACAGGTGAAGTAACTGGATCTATTGTCACCTCCAATTGAAAGTAGGACTGAAAAGACCAATCACTGTGAAGGCTCCCAAAGACCAATTCAGGAATCAGGAAATTAAGAGTGAAAAATTAAAGCAGAGTGCATTAAAATAAGAGATTAGTCATGGAATGGAAAAGTGACAAGAAGAAAGAAAACTATTTGAGATAAAAAGAAGAAAAGGAGAACAGATTGTGATATTAAGAATTACTCCTCAAAAATTAGAAAGTAAGCTTTTAGGGTTATTATTAATATTTTTTTTTTTATATAATAAAATGTTATTTTTTAATTGCAGGCAAATAAGATGTTGACTCAGCTTAAGTTGAGTTGATTTTCAAGAATTAGAAATATTTTTATATATTTTTTTAATATTTTTTTTAACAAATTTTTAAATCATTACCAATAATTAATATATTTAGTATAATTTTTTATAAACATAAATGTTTTTGTATTTAAAAGAAATTCGACAAATTATTTTTTCACCTGTTTATTATAGGTATTAAATTAAATATATAAAAAATAAAAATTTTCTTGATTTTATATTTTTAGTTACAGAAAATAAAACACATTTAACTACCTAACTTGCAATTATAATCAATCATTAAAAAAACTATTTACAATTACTTCACGAGTTGAAAAATGTCGATAATTATTTTCATTTCTAATATTAATTTTCTCCTCTTCAATGGTTACGCTACTGATTTGAAGTCAAACATCAAATTTATAATATGGCGCTGGTTATGACGACATGTTCGCACATACGACTGCAACTTCAGGTGTATTCTTCTCTGGTGAAACGGATTATATTCATCTGCACTGTGTTCTACTAAATGGACCGACAAAGATGGAAATAATTCTTAATAGGTACGTATCTCTAATAGTAGTTCGTGAATTATTTAAGTCCAGTATGTTCAACCATTTATTACGAAAATTCCTAGTTTATTAGTTTTTCTTTTCAATATATTGTTGATATTCAAAGATTTTGAATTGTAAAAATGGATTGGCAAGCCATTTTAATTTGGTAAAATTAAGACGAAATCTAATTTTTGAAGACGATTTCAAGACAGTAGCTGTGTTTGTACGAGTTCTTTTTTGGTTTGAATTGTTTTACCGTTATAAACGGGATTTTACTGAAAAATCGGGATTGAAGTAAATTATTTAAGGTTTAAAAATAGAATGATTTACCCCCTTATGCCACCGTTAAAGCGTCTTGCGAGGTATTCTCTCAGTGACATTGAACTGTCCTTCGAAAAGCACATACGAATATATTAGGTAATTTACCTATCTGGTGCAAACTTAGTGCCAGTTTTGGTAGAATCATCATTGAGACAAGAGCC